GACAGAATGGATGGGAAGAACATTAGCACCACAGAACCCAATCCTATGAGACACTCCAGACAGAAATATTCTAATTCAGATTGACTGTCCACACTAAGAACAGCCACTGATAATCTTCGCAGTGTCTGTCTTCTTTTGCCTATGCAGTTTCCAGAAGAAAAGATTTCTATAAGCAAATGCTGGTGATGAGCAAAGTGGAAATCTTGGCCATGGTCACACTGGACATCAGTGGGGCCATTGATGGTGATCTGTATAAAAGAAAGTTATTTTTCTCCTTAAACATTGAATTTCATGAAATTTTTCTCCAGCTAACTTATTCTGCAGCTTATTAAATCATGCATTGCCACATATCATTACTGTGTAAGTGAGGCCTAGTGTCAGAGAGAAAAATCTGAGATTAAGGGATGTGGAAATCGTACAGCCTCAAAGGTAGTCCTCTTCCCCTCACCCCAAAAAAGGCGACATACAGGACTTACCAGCCATTAAGGTGAGGAGGAGGAGGGGCATTGAGGGAGGGAGGAGAAGTGGCCTACACTGCTCCTCAGTGACAGAGAGCTCCATGAGCAGCAGAAGGGCGAGCGTCAGTGTGTCTGTGGAGCAAACTGGATGGTGACCCTGACTGCCCTAGGAGAGACCAGCCCACTTGAGCTAATTGCCTGGGTAAATCAAGCTTCACCTTCAGTGGAGGATGAGAAGAGAGGGACTGGATAGAGAAGAAGTGACCTAGTCCACCTGGTTAAGTTACACGGACCTTTGGCTATGAAGACATTTCCAAAAGCACCGACACTTTAAGAAAATGTCTGCTGAAACAAAACAGAGGTCAGGAGTAGACAGAAGAGTAGGGTAGAACTGTATAGAGAAGGGGGAAGGGAGAAACTACAGGAAGAGGGGGAGAAAACTGGGAACAAAATGGATAGTCATTGGCTTATTTCTCCTTGTCTGATACTAATATAGTACTTACTATTTGCCAGGTACTGTTCTAAGCACGTTACAAATGCTAACTCAGGCAATCCTCATTATTAGCCTCATTTTACAGAAGAAGAAAGCTATGCATGGAAAGAGTCAAGAGTCAAGAATGACCTAACAGCATCTGGCCAGCGTATGGCAGGGTCAGGACTTGAACTGAGGCAGCCTTGCAGCAGCGCATGCACTCAACCACCCACCGTGAGAAATGTCTCGTACCCTGCTGTAATATGACTATCTGGGCCATGGGTGTTAACATCCCATGAAGCAGCCCTAAAGATACTCAATAGTTAGTTAAGGAATGTTTTTAGCTCTTCAACAACTATCTGTTTTTTAATAGATAGTCATTTACTTGTGGATGAATATAAGGCAAGGAAGAGAGTCAATGGAACAGTTTTTCCTTGGGCTCTAAGAGAAAAATAGTAGCCCATGAGCTAATTAAAAGCAAAGTAAGAGCCAAGGTTTGGCCAATATGCCCGAGTCCCCATATGCCAGCATTATGTTCTCAGTATGTCACCCGTGGCTGGGAGGAACAAGAAGTTTCAGTGAGATATTAGCAGAAACAAGTCTTTGATATAAATGTTTTTACAATAACCATGCAGCCTGGCGAAAATGTACCACCAGAGTAATTGGCTTGATATGGATTCAAGAACCAGCAGCCACATGACTTCTGGTCCCTGCTGACCCTCAGGTTCTGTTTCCTAGTCTGGCTTGTCCCAGTCTCCTTTCCACTCAGAGAATTGTCTCAGAGCCCCTCCTATCCCTCCTTGCAGTTTAACTTCTCTTAGCTCCCTCACTCTCCCACTTGGTTGGACAATCCATCCTAGTTATGGATGTAGCTTGATTTTCTTTTTCTCAAGAGGCTTCACAGCCCTGTGTAAACCCCTTAACAGATTCTCAGCTCTATTCCATTACAAACTCCTTGCTATGAAGAGTGCCAAGTGTGTCACTGGGAAAGGCAGTCACATCAGTTCTTATCTTGAAGAATTTTCCTAAAAGTATGCCATGCTCTAGGCCAGAATGCCTCGGAGCAAGAATGACCTGGGCAAAGCTCTTGGTGACATACATCCTTTGGTCATTCCATCCTTTTGTGAACTAGATGGAAAAGAAAGCAAGCCCAAGACAACACCGATTTTCTGAGTTCCTATTCTGTCCTGGCTGTGGGCTTTTCTTTCATTGGTTCCTCTCTGAGTCTGCTTTTGAAAATCCTCCTCCCGCCCCAAGTTGTTCCTGCCTTTGTTCCTTTGCCATGTGCCCTTTTAGTTAAAGTGTTCTTTGTGTCCTGTTGGTGTGTTTCATTTGCTACTCTCATCTTCCTTGGGTCAGGGATGATATTTTTCTGTGCTTCAAAATCAAAGTGGAAAAATCCTTTGATACACATTGAACTTGATGTCACAAACTTGTCTTTGAAGGGCTGTCACAAGTACAGAAAAGTGCCCATATAAAGGTAAACACCAATTTGGGTTTTAGCTATTAGCTGCTGCTGGCTTTCTGGGTTCATTATATCTCATAAAGTCTACCTATAAATAAATAGCATGTTTGAAGCTAAGTTGCTTTTTTATGGAGAAATAAATGTAGATGTGGAAATTAGCAAAGTTCCAATCAGAGGAAGACAGAGTACCAAGAGAGCCCACCCTGTCTTATTTGGGACCATTGTCTTCCTGTGAGGCAAGCAAGGGAGAATGGGAGTGGTCCCCACTGTGTTCTCTCTCAGAACTTCTCCCCCCAGGCTCTGCTGCCCCAACTGTTGTGCTGACTTGTCTGCAAAGAGGCAGCAGGAGAAGTAAGGGGTGGGCTCTCCCTAGATACAGACAAAGGAGCTAATGATGGAACTGCCACTAGAGTCCTTCTAGAGCAGCTATAGCGCAGGGCGAGTCAAGTAGTATCTTCTGCTATTTCATGGGTATATGTTCCACCTTCTAATCCAACTGTGACTTTCTCTAGAGCAGGCCCATTTCAGCACCCATAGAAGGCTGACTGTTGAAAAACAAAACTCACTGCCCCCATGTTCACCTATGGTCCCACTCTTGGACCTGTGTTACGACTAGACCCCAAGAATTACTGAACCATCTGCATGATTTTCTGTTGCTGAACTCTGTTGTGAGCCAGAAAGGGGACAAAATATCATATCACCTACTAGCTTGGAAGTTCCTCCCTGGGTTAAGGAAAATCTATCACTCTTATTCCCAGTGGGAAAGACCACAATGGTTGCTATAAATCCAATAATGTTATTTTTAAAAAGCCTCATTTGCATCTAATATTCAAATAGTCATATCACTCAGGCTTCTGGGCCCTTTGATAGTGTCCTCGCGGATTATTTGGCTGCTATTGTGAGTTCCTAGAAACTAGAAACAAGAACATGTTGCCATCTGCATTGAGAATTTTAAAATAGCTGTATTTATATTGCTCTTATAATGAAAAGGGAATGTTTCTCATTACCCAGGAATCATTGGACATGTTTGCCTTAATACCCAGTGAGGCAAATGGAATAGAAACTGGCACATTAGATTCCAAGGTAATCAGTTGAAAAGTCAGTCCCTTTGAAAAATGCCCAGTGTATCTTCTCTGGTCCATGAGTCCCAGCAATGCTTTTGTTGCATCTGGGTATCCTGAGTAGGGTCAAAGGGCAGGCCTGCCAAAAGCAAATAATGGCTTCCCCCTGTCACGGGGGAACATAAGCTAATGAGTATAATTTTCTCAAATTTAAACTTTATTTTCATAAGTTTTACTTAAATATTGCCTATTACCAGTTTCCACTGGGTGAACTAAGCAAATGGCCAAGTAGCAAAGACTACTTGCAGAAAAGAGATACTTTGGGCTCAACAACTCAAGCCAACATGCTAATCAAGCAGAAAAAGGAAGGTTTTGTCTATGAATACACGGGTATATCAGGGACCACATGGGCAGAGTGGAGCTGGGCCCCAGAGTGTCAAACCCTATCTCAGCTTTTCTCTGCACATCTTCCTTCTCCTTTCTCTCTTTTTAACTGACTTGTTTTGGTACTTAGTCTACACAGTGGAAGACAGCTGCCAAGATCTCCCAAGGTTACATGTCAAGTTCCCACTAAATAAAGAGACTGCCTCTCTCAATTGTATTCCCAAATACCCAGGAAAGAAAACCTGATGGGCCAAGTTTAGGTCAGGGTTCCATCCCTAGTCCAATAAGCTGTATAAAGGGGGTGATGATGCCACACAATGTAAAATGGCAACAAGAGGTCCATCTTGTAACCTAGACATTAGGGAAGGACAGTTCCAAGAGAGGAAGGTGGTAGTGAGAAGAGTGTATGATGCCCCAGAAGGAAGCAACTGCATGGGGGATACAATGTGTCCATGCTCCAACATGCCACAAAAAACTCCACAGATCCAAACCAAACACCGTGGAGATCCAGTGAGGAAATACTGAGAAGTTTTAACACATCCTCTGCAAACACTGTGATCACTTTTCCTAAGACTACATAGGAAGAGAGAAGGGAACTTTCTGCAACATCTCATTTAATCCTCCATGACAATGTGATAGGCTGTTTTGCAGATGAGAATACCAAGGCTTAGAGAGGTTAAACAGCTGGCCCAAGGTCACCCAGCTAGTAAATGGTAGAGGAAAATTCAAACCCGCGTCTGACTCCAAAACCCCATTCATGCTCCATCTATTCCTCTGTGTTGTTTCCCAAATGAATTCTGCTCAATAAGTCTTCCCTGAACAGCTGAACAGCCTGGGTTGAAGATAAACATTTGCCCAAAAACTATCATTTTCTGTGCCTAAGACCTCTCCAAGACCTCAGCCTGCAAAGCACTAATTCAGCCAGTCCTGTGAGGACTCTGGCCACAGCATGAAGCTCCCCATCATCCCCTGTCGACCCCCTGTCTCCCCAACCCCCGCAGATACCTGACCCTACTGCTCTGGCTGTATCATGCAGGCCACCCCCAGGTGGAACATTTCCTCCCCAAGCTACTCTTAGGTTGTATACTGTTCAAGTGCTATCAATGCCATTTTCCTGTTTGCGTTTTGTTTTTGTTTTTGTTTTGTTTTTACAGTTCGTTGCTCATCCTAACTGTCAGCAGCAATTGCTTACCATGTGGTATGAAAATCTCTCAGGCTTACGTCAACAGTCTATCGCTGTGAAATTCCTGGCTGTGTTTGCAGTCTCCATAGGCCTCCCTTTTCTCGCCATAGCCTATTGGATTGCTCCGTGCAGCAAGGTACAGACTGCTTAAGGTGCATGTCGTTTGCGGTTATTTCTTCTCTCTTCTTAGCGTGACTTAAAGTCCATTTTGTTCAAATCAGCAACTAATCTTTTCCCACATTTAAAGATAGTCGTGAGATATCTAGCAGAAGTAGAAAAACCACGTAAGAATGAAAACATTAAAAACTGCTTTTTTGAATCATCATTAAAAAGAGAGAGAGAAGTGATAAAATGGGAAATTTTAAACATGTGAGGCATAACCTGAAAGGATCAATAACTAAACAGAGAGAGAATTAAGGCACTTTTCCTCTTCTAATTGAAATCACGTAAGAATGAAAACATTAAAAACTGCTTTTTTGAATCATCATTAAAAAGAGAGAAGTGATAAAATGGGAAATTTTAAACATGTGAGGAATAACCTGAAAGGATCAATAACTAAACAGAGAGAGAATTAAGGCACTTTTCCTCTTCTAATTATGCAGTGTCCTAAACATGTCCTCCAAACCCACAGTATAATAATTATTGTAATGGTAATAGTACTAGCCAACATTTATAGAGTACTTTCTCTTTGCTAAGCACTTTTCATAGAATACCTCATTTCACCCCCTCAATTACATTATGATGTGGATACTTCATGAAGCAGGTTCAGAAAAAGAAATAACTAGTAGATTGAGAGTCCAAGGCAGCTCATGCAGACCCATCACAACATCTTAGTTTCCTTGGTCTCCTTGATGGGTTTCTTGAGTACTTTCTCTTTGCTAAGCACTTTTCATGGAATACCTCATTTCACCCCCTCAATTACATTATGATGTGGATACTTCATGAAGCAGGTTCAGAAAAAGAAATAACTAGTAGACTGAGAGTCGAAGGCAGCTCATGCAGACCCATCACAACATCTTAGTTTCCTTGGTCTCCTTGATGGGTTTCTGGCTCACATGGGTAGCTAATTAGGTTATTATAAGGAAAAAGAAGAGTTCAAAAGATTCAGGACTGGGTTCTTTCCTTGAGGGGGAGCCTGCTGGTGACAGAAGGAGTGGAACCTGCAGGTACCAAGCTGCCCCCTGCCTGCTCCACCCTCTCCACAGCCCAACCTTGTGGGCCAAAGCCACATACAGAACCAAAACTCCAGCTTCAGGTGAGAATTAGCACCTATAAGACCAAACCTTGCAGAAATTTGAAATATGTTTCATAGGTTTAAGATTGTCATTAAAAGTTCCAAAGCTGCATTTACCTAGTGATGTATTTTTAAAGGAATTAAGCTTAGGTAATCAACATTCAGCAGAAGAAATATGACTACAGGGAGATTAGTTCCACAGGGAATTTGATCAGTTAATGTGGTTAATAAAAGTGTCACCAGTGAACCAACCCTCTTGTCAACTCAACTTAGAAGGAACTCATGCCAGAATGATGGGCCTGAGACTTTGAGGCTGCTGATAAGGCCACCTAACCAGGCAGGTATGAACTGACTGCCTCAGAGTAGGGGAGGGGTCACAGAGAGAGGTCAGGCCTCAAGTTCTTTCTTCTCTAGAATAGTATGACAAATGAAAGACCTCAGACTGAATATTTACAGTATCCAACCTTACATCCATTGAAGATTTTTTTTTCATGTCAATCTTTCATGCCACAGACTTCTAAATCAGAATTCCCTAAATAATATATATGTAGGTGAAGGATTTACTTTCTGTACTACATTATGAGCTGAAAAGGCACAGTGAGTGAAAAAACTAACCAGATTTAAAGCTAGATTGGAGCTGGTCATTGGTTTTAGGCACATGATTGATGCTGGAACTATCTAGTCTGTACTGCAAGTTGGATCCCTGCCTTCACCCAGAGCTTCAATGCACAGGGACACTGCTTCCACTCTCTCTGGGCCCCCAAACTAATTCTAGGCTATTCGATCATTAAAATAACAACAACTTTGTGGAGAAAATGCTGCCAATCTTCACTTTTGCTACAAAGCTAAATGTGACAGCTTCCAGGAACCTGGGACTAGCCAACACCAGCAAATCAGTTTGCCTCCTCGTGGCATGGGAAAAGATTCAGAAAGAGATGATAATATGCCAGTAGCTGACTAAATTTTTTAGATTGTTAGTAGGTCTGAGAAGAAGAATCTTGGCAAATATACAGATGTGATCCAAAAAAAAAAAAAAAGCGGTGTGTGGTTGTCAGGAAGGAATTCTGGAATTTCTTGGGCCCAGTAAATCAAAGAATCTAATACTACCATGGGACATAGGGATCAGACCCATAGCAGTCTTCTAGAACACTATAGAGGAGACAACTGCAGGAAAGTTCGACCGATGACTGGGGCTTCCTCCCTGTTTAGATACTTGTCTGACATTTGGTGCTCTCAGAACTTTCAATGACACTAAAAAAATAAAGCACACGACAAACATTAGCTGATCATTAAGCAACTTATCACTTCCATGCACTTTCTAAATTCCAAGTCTGAGCTCAATGCAGTGGAGGGCATGTTGATATCTGAGTGACAAGTCTTAATCTGTGGCAAGAGATGAGTATAGGTGGCATAGCTCATTACAAGTAAAGATTCCCTCATTAAAGAACTTGTCGAACTTGCTCTGAAGCAGCCAAAGGACAGATAAAACAGTCAAGATATTTTTAGTCTTTCCTTTTAGAAAGAAATTTCTTTTAGAAAAAAATCTTTTCAAGTTTGGCAGAGATGTTACTGGGGATTACAGAGAAGTCACATCTGCCACGTGACAAAACCAGCCCTCTCTAAGAGCTCCCGATGCTCAGAATACCATGTCCTCCCAAGAGGAGGAAAAGTAGAGCAGTCTGTTAATGGGCTAGTGTCCTCCTCCCAATGGCTCACTGCCGTTATATCTATCTATATCTGTAATTCCATGAAAAAGTCATTGTCATTCCAGGAATTCCATGTTCTATTCCAATGACATTATTACACCTCCCTCTAAGAAATTAAGTCTTGATATTCTTTTTTAAATGTATTCATAAAATGTCACTGCCAAACTTCTTCAAGTGGCTAATGCTCATCACATCTAACAAACGTTGAGATTTCTGTTTCCAACCTAATGGTGCATTTACCTCCTAATAGTTGCTGTCCTAATTTAGGGACTATCAAGAACATCAAAATTACTTGATTAGCCTGCCACGACCTCATCATTTCTCTCCTATTGAATTCCCAACACTGTCAATCCTATTTTTATATTATTTTAAGTTTCTGAGGGTCCCTAAGAAAGACAGTTTTAAAAGGAGGTTATAACATCAAGGGTGTCAACAGAAGTTCAGTTTACTAATATGCTGGTTGACCAGAATAACCAAGTCACAGATGGGAACTTATGATGATAAATACAGATCTGGAGCATGGTTTGTCAGAATCAAGAAAAAGAATGGTGATTTTGTTTATCATTTTGCATTGTCATCATCAACATGGTTGAGGTCAGGGGGCTCACTGGAAGACATGAGTTCTCATCCACGTGGATGTGCACAGTTAGGTCTTTTCCTAGAGAGTTCTTTATCCTCTCAACAAGAGCTCCAATGCCAAGGGGCCTTTATAGCTAATTGGGCTGTTTTCTATTCTTTGCTATTTCATTTTGACTCATAGTTTAGATTGTTTGCCTGTTAAAATATCAGAGCTGAAAGAGTAACAGGCATCCTCAAGGGTTCAAACTGTCTCTACAGCAGTAGATTAGGGCAGAAGTCAGCATCATGAAAATGTGAGGAACTGCAGAAGTTCTAATTATAAAAACATGACCGGGGAAGCTGACTTCCTCCATTAGTCATTAATCTTCATCTTCACTGTTCAATTACCCTTAAAATTAGTCCAGGACACAGGCAGGGGAAGTTGCGACCAGCTTTAGAATTCAACCTGACATCTTTGTAGTGTGCAATCTATCAGTCCTTACTGCCACATAACTCTTGCTCAGAGAAATATCAAAGGTTAGTTGTTATCCCCTCTCAACCATCCCAAACAAGAGCATCTAGTGAGGAAGGCGTGAGTGAGTGAGCAGCTTTTGAAGAGCTCTGCCTTGCCTTACCAAAACCGAAATGGTTTGAAACAGGGGTGCTCAAACCCTGTGGTCCAGGGGCCGGCCAGGAGAAGACAGTGCCTCCAAAGGCCCCTGCTATCTCTACCAAAGAACTACACTAGCTTAAAGAAAATCACAACACAATTTCTGAAGCAATGCTATGGAGGAGAATTTTTTGCCAGGAAATAGAACACTGATGCTCTTATGTTACCAGTGCTTCTGCCCCAAAGTCCAAAAGGAGAGTCCAGCACCTGTCACCCTGCTGGGATAGGATTTAAAAGTGCCAGACACTGGTCACCATTATATTTAGCCCAACCTGAGCCTTGCAACATTCCTTCCCATCTCTCCATTTATTTCCTACCACAGATTTTAGACTGTGTCTCTCCCCACTAGAAAAACAGCAACTTTGAAGGGAAGGACCAACTCTCAGAGCTTGTTTTATCTCCATCCCCTCCAGTGCCCAGCACAATGTTACACATAGACAATACCCCAAATAGGCTCATGGCATAAGGACATAAGGACTCAGTGGATCAGCTGTCATGAATCCTTGCACAGAAGCTTCTCAAAAGTCAGTCACATTTCTTTTTAAGTTTCCCCTTAGGGGAACTCCCTGAGGCTCTCCAGTCCACTGAATACTTCCTATGTGCCAGGCGCTGTTCTAACTGCTTTGTGCATATTAAATATTTCATTTGTGTATATCAACCCTATGCAGTAGGTACTATTTTTATCCCCAGCTTACAGAAGAAAAAACTGAGACACTAAGGGAATACATACCTTGCCAAAAAACTGTGGAGCTGTGATTTAAACCTAGGGTCTCTGGATCTAGATATCTGCCTAACACACACACACACAGACACCTCTCTAGTTACATCAGCAGCATTACAATGCCCAATATAAACATATTAGCTGCGACTTTGAAATGAACTTGATTCAGATCTCTAGTGTTGGCAGGACTTTTCTAGAAAGGAGAAGTCAAAGCCACCATATAACAAATTCTATCCTTTCCTTTTCTTGCCTTAGAAGCCCTACCTTGTATATCCCATTATCACTTAGCACCTCTTCAGCCTCCAGGACAAAATGTGGATTCACATTGTAATGTGAGAACACCCTGAGTAGAGACACATAATAAGCACCCCTATCCCCTGTCAAAAAAGGATTTCTGAGCCCTAGGTTAGACATTTTGAATAAGAACTGGGGTGGGAAGCACACTGAGGAATCTGTCACTAATTTAACAGGGTGTCTCTAACATTTGAGAACCACCCCACCTCAGAAACAAGCATGTTTCTTTTTGGAATGCCTGATCCAAAGTTTGCTTTCATTCAGCTTTCCAACTTGTAAACTGAGCCTTTGCTTGAGGCCATTGGCACCTGGTAGAAAGTGAGTTGTGGCATTTGGTGAGGGAGGCTCTGGTGACACAAGACTAGGAAGATTAGAGCATGGTGCTGATAACACTAAGGCACCAAGATGAAGGGGTTTGGATCCCTGTACTCACCAGCCGCCAAAAAAGAAAAGAGAGAGAGAGAGAGAGAGAGAGAGAGAGAGAGAGAGAGAGAGAGAGTAGGAAGAGATGCTGGAAACATTCTCTGCATAATCTACCACAGTTGTGTCCACCGGCCTATCTTGTTGGGATGTGAGGACCCACGGGCCACCAGGTTCCAGTCAGGCGTACACACTCGTAATTAGGGCTAACAGCCTGGTAGCATGGAACACAGAACTGTGCCAACCAGTAAAAGCTGCTGCCCCCCCTTGAGGTTCTTTCCATGAATGCACTTCATCTGGAGATAATTCAGGGTATTATTCAGTTGCTCCCACATTCATACATTTCTCAGTGTAAAAGAATAGTACCCAGGAAGTTTGTGGTGAGCCAGAGACTTAGAACCTTACAAGCTTGAATTTCCTGATACGTTTCAGCTTGTAAGGTCCTAGTGATGACTGAGCTTCCTTAGCCGTGTTTTCAGACTCGCCAGTTCTGTACTTCAGGCAGGGCAGAGCTATGTTTCCCTCAGGCCTATGTCTCCCTCCCAAGGCTCTACCATCTTTTTTACACCTAAAGCTGTTACCTGACCCAGCTTAAACTATTCCACAGCTAAGAGCTGCTGGCACATATTGGTTGACTTTTCTCCTTTCTTTTGACTTATCTGTTGGCTTTGTGAAAGGAAGATGTTTTCTCCAAGGGTAATTTGCTTCAAAAATTATCTTTATTGGGCCGGCCCGGTGGCGCACTGCTACAGTGCGCCACTTGGGAAGCGTGGCAGCGCTCCCGCCGAGGGTTCGGATCCCACATACAGACCGGCTGCTCACTGGCTGAGCAAGTTGAGGAAGCAACACCGAGGGTTGCGATCCCGTGGCCAGTCCCGGTCCGGTACGGGCGCGACACTGAGGGTTGCGATCCGTTGCTGGTCACGAAAAAAGACAAAAAAAAGGAAAAAAAAAATTATCTTTATGAGTCAAATAGGGAATTCCACAACAAAAAGAAAAATAAAACTATTGCAATGACTGGATCCCATTTGACCTTTATCAAAGTTTTACCAGTTAAAAAGATGCATTCAAATAAACCCAGACAAATAGAAAAAGAATATCAATTTTAACCTCACTTTTCCTTCCTCTGACCTATATCAAATGGGAACTGAGCCCAGAGTAACCTTCAAAATCACCATAGGGCATTATCAGAGTTTTTATTATGGTTTGCAGTAAAGGTAATTTTTATGGACTCATCTTCTGCCAGAATATAATAACTGGACAGAAGAGAGAGACAATAAATTCTTTAAACCAGGTCTTCTGGGGAATCCCAAGGCCACCTTGAGTACAGATGCATATGGATTCCAGCAGTCGGTGCCTCACCTGAGTGAGTACAGAGGGGTACCCCATATCCTCATCCAGATGGTCACTAGAAGACACTATGCAGAATCTGCAGATAAAGGATTGGGGGAAATTGGCAAGTCCTTAAGATCTGTGTCCATCTCAGAGTTCCCCATCTTTTTCTGATATTCCTGTGACCCTACTGGGACACACAAGATCCCTTTCCCTCTCCTCAACCTTCCCTCTCGACTCCCACTCTTCCCACTGCAGTCATTCTCCATCTTCCCTCACCTCTCATCACCACCTCAGTCAGGACACAGAGACAACGAACAATGTGATGACTATTTAAGGATGTCTCCTAGATACACCAAAATATCTCAAGGCACTGGTTGGGAAATGGGGATCCCAGATGCCAACACCATTCACTAAAATGATGAAAAATTCAAGCTGGCTACTGATATCATATAAATCAAAATGAAACATGGTTTAATTCAGGTTTTTACTGAATTTATGTGAGATATTTTATTTATCCTTACGTTTAATCTTTGCCTTCTGAAATTAGCACATCTGCTTACTGCCAAATATAATCTACAGTTCTGGTTTTTGTGAATAGTAAAGCTAAACATTATATAGAAATGTTATTTGTAAGACATTTGTGGGCCTATGATCATCAGGCAAACCTCTCTTTGCATTTCTGAATTTGTTTCTAGTGTAATAACAATATATAGGTGAATGCAGGTGAATGACAACACAATCAGGGATTCCCAATGTTTGGACCTGAGATTCAAGTTTTAAAATGAAGATACAAACTAACTTTTTTATTTTAATAGATAGGTTCCATGGCATCAGAATAATAATAAATCATGTTATACTAATAACTAGAATAATTAAAGTGGATGATTACCATACTGAAGCACATTAAAAGAACATTACCAAGCCATCTGATTTATCAATGTTATGCTGAACATAGTCATAATTAGGGAAATTTTACCTAGAGAATTGTAATTGATCTCCTGTTGAACCAATACTTTATCTCCTGGGTGACATTTTACTCTAAAACTCCTGAATGAGGTAGAATATGAACATCAATTAAACAGTCACCAGTTATAATTGAATATCTGCCCTGTAAAGGAACTGAGTTTCAGAAAAGATTTCCCTCTTTGCTTTTGTCTCATTAGTATATGTGGGTGAGGGGTAAGGCTTGGTGCTTAGGTAAGAGTGATGACAGTGACCTGGAAGAGACCCAAGTGAGTTCATTAACAGGGGTTCTGCAATGACTCAGTTTGCAGCCCCAATTTAGTCCTAAAGACCCAAGGGGCCTTTGTATGGGACGCCATGAGATAAAGAAGATGTGACCAATACTCATTCCCTAATAGGGCATCTTTTGTATCATTTCACACTCATGTGGAACATTTACACAAATTAACTATACACTAGGCCACAAGGAAAACCTCAATAAATTTTAGAGTAGTATTACAGAGGCTATGTTCTGTAAATGTGGTACAATAAAATTAGAATTTTTAAAAGCAGGAAAAAAGTCCTTATGTGTCTGGAAACTAAATAATCCCTAAGTTAAAAATGAAATCAAAAGAGAGATTACAAAATATTTATAACTAAATATCAATTAAAATGCTACATGTTAAAATTTATGGGAACACAGCTAAAGCAGGACCTAGCAGTACCAAGATATGAGAAAGGTTGATAACAAATAATCCACACATAAAGTCCAAGTATATCCAAAGTATATATTTTTTAATCTTGAACTCTATTGAGACATTATTTTTTCCCAATTTGAAGAGCATATAATTTATACTCACGTGGCTGGGGGTATCTGTGCAACCAGATGTAGTGTGGTGCTGCGTCAGTGGGCTCTCCTCCTTTCTCTTAACCACTCCCACCAAGTCTTCCAAATAAGAAAAAAACTGAAGTCAGTAGAATTTGGTCTACAAATTTGGTCAAGCAGTATGATCACATAAAAGTGAAAGAGAAAATGTCTGGGTTCAGTCCAAGACAAAGGATTCTCTGGTTAAACTTTGGCAAAAGCAATGTTTTAAAGAAAGACCTTTACCCACATAGAACTGCCAGTTTAACATGTCTTGTACGCATTTTGTTTTCAGCTAGGACGAACCTTGAGAAGCCCTTTCATGAAGTTTGTAGCCCATGCCGTTTCTTTTACAATCTTCTTGGGATTGTTAGTTGTGAATGCGTCAGACCGATTTGAAGGTGTTAAAACCCTGCCTAACGAAACCTTCACAGACTACCCAAAACAGATCTTCAGAGTGAAAACCACACAGTTCTCCTGGACAGAAATGCTCATCATGAAGTGGGTCTTAGGTAAGCAAGTCACTCTGCCTTTTATTCTCTCCTCCCCTAATCCTAATAGGACATTATTGAATTCTGACTGCTGGACTTCTCCCTCTCCTTTTTTGAGTGCACTCTTGGCAGTCAAAATGGAGAGTGGATAACCAACAAGAAATTTTACATGGTTCTCTTTTATATCTTCCATTTTTCCTCAACATGTTTGTATTTTCCTTTAAATCCTAGAACATACTGTGCATATTTATAGTAACTGTTTTAAAGTCTTGACTCCTAATTCCCTCATCTCTGTCATTTCTGGGTTGACTCCTATTGATTAAACTTTGTCCTGGTTATGGATCACATCTTGCTGTATCTTGGCATGTTGAGTGATATTTGATTGAATGATGGGTACTTCACATGTTATGTTACTAAGCATCCGGATTTTGCTGTCTTCCTTTAAAGAGTTTCTGGCTTTATTCTGATAGGCTGTTAAGTTACCTGCAGATCAGTTTGATCCTTTTGAATCTTTCTTTGATTGGATCTGGAGAAGATTTACCGTAAGGTTTATCTTTGTTCTGTGGAGATACACTTCTGTGGTCTGGGTAATCAACAAGGGCTCTCAACTCTGGATGGTCAAAGTTCAAATATCTTCCCACTCTGGATGAGCTCTAGAAATTATTCAGCTTACAGCTCCCTGGCTGTTTGTGGAGTTTCACTCCATGTATTCATGACCTTAGTATTCAGCAAACATTCAAAAGAACCCCTATTTAATTTCTGGAGTCTTCTGCTTGTTTAGTTTTAGAGTTTTTTAGTTGTTTACTTGCTTGCTTACTTGTTTGTTTTTGCATAGTAGCCTTCTTTCTGGAGCTCTGTCACACATCACCTCAGCCCTCCTGAACTCCAAACTTTGTCTCAAACTCAGTGAGACGGCTTGCTGTGCTTCTGGGACCCCTCTCCATGCGCTGCAGACTGGAGTGTACCTCCAGAAAGAAAGCCAGAGTGGTCAGTCACATGGCTTGCCTTACTTATTTCCCCTTACTTAGGGAGATCACAATCCTATACTGCCTATTTCCAATGTCTGAAAATAGTTCCCCACCCCCTGCTTGTTATACCATCGTGGTAAAAAAATCAGGACACTTTTTCTAAAACAGAACCAGAACACCATTATCAAACCTAAAAGAAAATTAATAATTACTTAAGAGCTTCAAATATCCAGTCAGTAATCAAATTTCTTTGATTAACAGAGGGAAGTTGAATAAATATCTACATGACTTACTTCCTGTCTTCCTTCAAGTCTCTCTTCCAACTTTTTCTTATCATAGTAGTTGAGCAGGTAAGAGCATGACCTCTTATCCCCCTACTCTGATAAGGTAAAAAGCATTTCAGGCAGAAGGAACAGTATGTGGTAAAGCCCTGGATTCAGGAGTAAGCTGGACATGTTTGAGGAATAGCAAAGAGACTGGTATGACTGGAGTAGATAAATAGGGAAGATAGAAGAAGAAATAATGTCAGAGGGGTAGCCATTAGAGAGTTTGAGCACAGAAGTGACAGCACATGACTTAAGTTTTTAAAGAGTTTTCAGAGGACTTGGCCTTACCAGGAGCATGGACACCTCATTCATTTTAATAGGAGGAAAGGGGGAGTTGAAGGCACAGTGCAGATGGGTTGGTGTATTAGTACATTTCCGTTGCTTATAACAAAATACTTAGAACTAGGTGATTTATAAAGAAAATGAAATTTATTGCTTACAGTTTCTGAGGCTGGGAAATCAAAAGTCCATTTGGTAGTGGTGACAGTGACCCAGGGGTCTCACATTGCAAGATGATGGAAGCAGAGAGAGCAGAGAGAGACAGAGACAGACTCTCCTCTCCTTTTAGAGCCCTCAGAACCAAGCCCCTGACCACCATTTTTAATCCATTCACTACTGCAGGGTCCTACAACCCAATCACCTCTTCAAGGCTCCACCTTTCAATTACCATAATAGGATTTCCCACCCTCTAAACAGTCACAGTGGGGGCTAAGTTTCTAATGCATAAAACTTTGGGGACACAATTCAGGCTTCATTGAGTTTTGGGGGAACATAATTCAGTCCACTACAGTTGGTAATGCAGTGGTGGGAGCACGCAAAAGTTCTTTTCTTTTCTGATATTTTCTATTTTCTCAATTTTTTTCTCAATAATATTTTCTAGTAATTAAGCACTATATTATATATCAGGCACCGTGCCAGGTACTACAGAAGCAGCTCTAAATAAGACTAACATTATTTTGTCCTAAATACTTTCTGGAGCTCATTAAGCATTACAAAAATACTAATTGTGCTCATGAAAGAGAAGGTTCTTCGTGCTGCTGCACATTGAGATCCAGCATAAGATACACTCTCTGCTCAGACACAGAGAGGCCTGAAGTAGCATGAGGTCCCTGCTAAAGGAAACTTGGGATTCTCCTCCCAAGCACTGACAGGAAGGCCGTGTGTCAGCTAGAAACACAGCAGCACCCTTCTTTTCTCCCGTGATGTATCACACCCATACATGCAGTTCTTTGAATTGATTACAAAAAAAACATCTAAACTATCATTCTCTCTTTACCAGAAGCAGCTCTAGAGCTGAAGACAAACTTAGGACCCTAACAAGCTCAAACTGCTCCTTCAGGGATGGAGAGTTTGGCCACAGAGAAGTGAATGGCCTTGTCCAGGTCTCCCTGTTTCTGCCCTTCCCACTCCCATGCCTCAGTCTGTCCTCAACACAGGAGATGGAGTGATCCATTTAAAATGTAATCAAGTCTTGTCACTCTTGCCTCAAAACTCCTCAGTGGCTCCCCATCTCCCTCAGGACAACAGCCAGTGCCATTACAATGGCATACACTGCCCTCACCCCTCCACCCCATCTCTATGACCTCATGCCCCCCACTTGCCACCTCACTCTCTCCGTTGCAGCCCCACTGGTCCCCCTGCCTCACGCTGTTTCTGCCTCAGAACGTTTGCTCAGGCTGCCCCTCTCCTGCAGAGTTCCTCCTGCAGGGCCCTACATGGCTCACTGCCTCGCTTCCTCAGGTCTTTGCTACAAAATCTCCTTCTCAAAGTGAGACAATCCTATTTAAAATTGCAAGCCCCCCACCCCCACACTGTCCTACTCCCCCTGTTTTTCTTCATAACAGTTAATACCTCTGACAATACCATATGTTCTACTTTGTTTCCTGCCTGTCTCAATTAATATTAATACTTCTTCGATCACACAAATATGTAGTTGGCTCTTTTTATCTTCTGTTTGGCTATAGCCCTCTCTTCACGTGGCTATCTGGTGTTCCCAATGACCTCTTTCAGTGGCCACATGCTGTGACAATACTCTAACTTACTTCCCAACCCCTCATCCTACTGGGCATTTAGGTCGACCCTCTTCTGCTATACAGTCCTGCAAGAGGCTTAACCCCAATTAGAAATATATTTCTCCTTCACTCCAGATGCTTTGCCCGGTTATCAGCAGAAGTTTGAGAGTATTCTAGATTGTCAATTCAAGATATTTAAATCATGGGCAGAGGAGGTAGAGGCCACCAAAAGAACTAAGAAGAATTATAGCCAGAGAGGTAGAAGAAAAACTAGGAGAATACAATATCAAGGAAGCCAAGAGAGGATCATGACTGAGGAAGGAGGCACAAATTTGCTGGTAGACACATATATTCTGTAGAGCTGTCAGATGAGCTACTTTGAAAAGGAATAAATGAACCAGAGACTATCACTCTTTCCAGCCTGGAGAATCTCCAGCATCAGTTTATACCACAGGAACCTGTCATTGTCGCCTGCATAATAAGCGGTGACTCTGGGGTAGCAGAAAGAGCTTATAATAAGCTTTTCAGCTGGAGACTGTGGCTCTAGAGATGCTCATCAGAGGATGGTGTAATAACATTAGTAGTTCCCAGAAAGCCATCAGGGGCTTGGAGGTCAGGAAGCCTCCCCATAATGCATGTGATTTCCTCATCTAGGAATAGAATTATTTCGATGGAAGACTCTCTTCCCCAGTCTCATAGGGACACTGGCAGTGTTTTCTTAAACAGATGCCCCAGTATTGAAAACTCAATGGAGTGAAATGTAAATGCCCAGTATAATAGTAAAACACATTTTAAATGCTGGGTAGGAGGTAAGTGCTCAGGACTGGGTGTCAGGCAATTCAGTCCTATGTCCTCTTCTCTTTGGTGGCTCTGCATCTCCAAATTTCAGTTTTCACATCTGTAAATCTAAGAGTCAAGCTATTCCCTCACCCTAACTCACCCAGGATTATAAACTCTCAAGGGCAGTGCTGAATCTTAGTTCCAGAATCACACATTTAGATTTGGCCAAGAGTAAAGCTGTAAAATCATGTAGGCTAGTGGTGAGTACCTATGAAAGTACTCATTTCCCCTGAGGCCTCCTGACACTTCCCAGCCTGTTCCTCTACTAGGCACCCTCCTTAATTATCAGTGACCTTGTTTTCTGGGCTCCAGGCATCCCTGAGTGAATGGAATTTTGCCTGAAGGAGGTTCAAGTGCCCAGTATCCTTTCTCCCTGAGTCCCTGGACTCTAAACACTCCTCTGACTTACATGCTGGAGGCAAAAGACCATAGGGCTCAGCTTGGATATAAAATGCTGAACTACCCTTGGCATCTTGAAAGCAGGGGGCCTAATTTCACTCACTAGAGTACTTAATTTCACACATTTCTTTTTTCATTAAGCATTCCTGCTGCTCCAACCCTTGGGCTCATGTTACTTTTACTTATGGCCTTGGAATAATTTAAATTAGTCTGGGTGAGTTAATATCTAGGAAGACTGATGCAGATATCTGACCACAGAGGAAGTGATTTGCAATGCCCAATGAGGAGCTACTATACCAGTCAGAAAACTCAGTTTTCTGTAGATAATTTACATTTCAGATTCATAGAGCTTTTTTGGGGGGGGGTGGAGTTGGCCGATACAGGGGTCTGAACCCTCGACCTTGGTGTTATAACACTGCGTTCTAACTGAGCAACTGGCCACCCCAGATTCTTAGAGCTTTTAGTGCTTGAAGTTACCCCCAAACCCCAATTCATTCATTTTACAAATACATAAACTGACATGCACTGCAAGTCAGGAGACTTATCCAAAGTCACACTGCCAGTAAGTAGCAAGGTAGACTTTGAACTCAAGGCTTCCAGAATTAAGGCCAATCACCCTAAGTGATAGCCTGTGATTCTCCTAGTGCCCAGCTAAAAGCAGTTCCACTAAGACATTAGAAATTCTAATTTGGGGGTAGAGTACAGCAACAATTACTTTTTACAGCAACAAACATTATTTTTCTAATTACATTTTTAAAATACCTATTTGAATAGGCACAGATGAAAGTACATTTCAGTGTTAAGAAAATTATTACTTCACTGAATTATCACACAAATTTCAACAGGGTATGGTTAAGAAGTGGCTTTGTTGAGGGAGAAAAATGACAGAGGGGGTACTTGTGAAAAGACCTGCAGTGTGCAATGTTTGGGGATATTATCTACTGTAGGGACTCCAGTTTAATACAGACATGCAGACCTTCATCAAACAAAGCCATGACTCTTCTCTAAACAGCTGCTCTCAAATTACTTTTTTCCTTAGAAAAACATTTCAATTCCTTTTATTTGATGGTCCATTTTCACCAGAAAAGGAAAAATTCTGATTAAAACAGTCTCTGAGCAGAGTCCCAGAATAACAGAGGTGATTTGTTCATCACTCAGATGTGTCCAGATGTGGGCCTGGGACCAAGTTGACCATGTTCTGGCCGGGGTCGAACCCCTATGACTATATGTCTGCTCCCAGCATCCATCTTTGACTCCATGCTTTTTCAGGAGCTGGAACCTTGGAGTCCACTGAATTATAGTGTGGGCATCTGTCAGTGTGCTAGGGTTGGAGGTCTGGGGGAAAAGAAGAGGAAACACAAGCAAATGGTTGAGGGGTAGACCTGCTGGTGGCCTGTTGGGTGGATCTGCTTTGCTGTAGTATAGGATGTAGGGAGATAATGGAAGATCACAGGAAGGTTTGACAGCCTAGCTTTGGAGTTGGGATTTTATCTTGGGGTTATGATGAATACACTGTAAGTGTCTGAAGAGGGATATGACCATGATATGACCTGTGCTTTATGAGTTAAAAGGATGGAGTTGAAAATCGAAAGGGCAGGGTGGATCTGAGAGTCCACCAGAGCAGGATCTGCAGAACTGTGGTGATCCCTGGTGACAGCTGGAGGAGTCAGGGGTGCAACAGAAGGAGTACTGGGAATGGTGGGACACAGTGAGGGGGAGGGGGAGGCCAACTTAAGGTATGTGGTATTTCTGGCACTGGCAGGACATCCACTAACAGCAGTCTCTCTGCGTGGTGGGAATTCAGCTTTGAAGCTCTTAAGAAAAAGTAGCAAGATACTCATCTATGAGACATTTGCAACAGATGGACAACAAAGCTTCAGGCTTGGATGCATTTGCACAGTCAGAGGGAAAAATAAGAATGGCCAATAACTTGGAAAGTAGCAGCCTTCAAGGGGAGGGTGGAGGAAGAAGAGCAACAACGGAAGCTGAGGAGGAGAATGGGAGAGGCAGGAGACAGCTGAGGAGGCAGACCATCGTGTGTCCCGTGCACAGGAGTGGGGGAGGGGAGGGGAGGGGAGGGCATGACACTATCAGTGTTAACCTTTTGGGAGTGTGTGTGGTCAGTGAGCTGAAATTATCTCACTCACTGACCAGCTAAATATGCAGATTAGGTGTAGCATGGTTCTGCAGCAAGTCTTTCCCAGGGGTGAGTAGTTATAAGACCCTCTGATGCCACTTACAAAATGTTCACGAGTCTTTTGTACACAGTAACTGTTTTGAACCTAATTTTCTGAAAAACCAGAAGAGCATAGTGGACAAGAGCATGGACTGCAGGGGCAGATCCTCTGGGTTCAAATTCCAAACCTCCTGCTTCTTAGCTGGGCACATTACGACCCTCTGTGCTTCTGTTTCGTTAGCTTTAAAATTGGGAAAATAACAGAATGGATTTCGTGGGGCTGTTGCAAAGATTTAAGGAGATAGATAGATAGATAGATAGATAGATAGATAGATAGATAGATAGAGATACATATACATATATATAGATTGAGATTAAGGTAAAAATATGTCAAAACAGGGCCTAGCACATAGTAAGTGCTCAAATTATAATCGAATCGTTAAGTTTTAATAATTTAAACCAATTTAGTTTCAATAATCAGTGAATATAAAGGTATAGATTAGCACTATTCAATAGAAATAAAGTGCAAGCCACAACTGTGAGCCACATGTGTAATTTTAAATTATCTAAAAGCCACATTACAAAAACAAACAGGGGAAATGAATTAGCAATATTTTTTACTTATCCTAACATATCCAAAATGTTGTCACTGCAACATGTAATTGATGTAAAAATTAAGGAGATATTTTACATTCTTTTAAGTCCAATGAGGTCTAGAAGGATACACGCCAAACTATTAACCAAAGCCACTTCACAGGGCTGGCTTTGAGGAGGGGTGGGGGAATTAGCAACATTTTGTTTATATATCTCTACATTGTTTAATATGTAACAATAAGAACATACCAGGATACTTCAAAAAGTTCATGGAAAGATTTGCATTATCTTTTAATTCTGTTTTTCCACGAACTTTTTGAAGTACCCTCATATGTTTTTAAATCCAATGAATTATAAAAGAGTAAGCAAAAAAATCTGATAACTCAAAACTAATGCTCATCGAAACAGTCATAGAAATACAGAGGAAAGCATTCTAACCCGGGGGCTTGGGAAAATCTAGGTCCTACCTGGGACTTTCAGAAAACATTTTTCCATTCCTGGGCCTCAGTCTTGGGAAAATCTAGGTCCTACCTGGGACTTTCAGAAAACATTTTTCCATTCCTGGGCCTCAGTTTCCCTATATTTAATTGAGGACTGAATGATTCCTTATGACCTCCCAGTTCTATAGTTCAGCAACTATATTTCTCCCACGCTGCCTCCAGGAATCTATCGGGGGATAAGCACTCTCTCCTCACTTCTGGAGACTGTTTGTGTCTAAGCACAGGGACAAGTGAGGTGTCTTCTCACGGAGTCTGAGACTCTTGATTCTAAAAGTCTTTGAAGAGACGTTTCCATCTGCCTCTGGCTATCAATGTTCCCAGCTCCAAACAGCTGACATTTACGTTTGTACCCCGGTTCCCTCCGTGCCCTCATGTGGTCACAAACGCCAAGGTTACTGAAAAATGAGCCTGGCCTTCTCCCTCTGCACAGGAATGATTTGGTCCGAATGCAAGGAAATCTGGGAGGAGGGGCCGCGGGAGTACGTGCTGCACCTGTGGAACCTGCTGGACTTCGGGATGCTGTCCATCTTCGTGGCCTCCTTCACGGCGCGGTTCATGGCCTTCCTGAAGGCCAGCGAGGCCCAGCTGTACGTGGACCAGCACGTGCAGGACAACACGCTACACAACGTCTCGCTTCCGCCGGAAGTGGCTTACTTTACCTACGGTGAGTTAGGGGCACTCTGCGGGGTCTATCCTAAGTGCTTCCGGGTCGTGGCCTTGGCCCTTTGCTGTGGATAGTCCCCAGGCCCTGATTTATAACGTGGCAGGCATTGGTCACCTCGACTACCAGTGCAGAGTCTCTCCCCACTATACCCCCCCACCACACGCCCCCAGCCAAAACACGTCCTGGTCTCTGCAGTGCAACCAGCTGAATAGAACGTGGAATTAGTGACTTTGAGAAATGAATCTTTTTGTGTTAGGAAGGATGAGTTTGTTTTGGAAAGGCTCTTGGGGCATTTCTGTATTGCTTGGGTTTTGTTTGTTTTGTTTTGTTTTAAGAAACGTCTTGTTTCTGATGTGTCTCCAGGAGGACTAAAGCGGTATGTATGTACCAAAGAATTTTCCTTCTGTATTGGATTCCTATGTTTGGTGCAAAGATAGTCCTACTTTCCCAGATCAAAAGTTCTTTTCTCCTTGCAAGATAGGTTCTTAGGAGATACTTGAACACTTTCAAACCACAAGGCCATACAATTGGAGGTGGTAGATTGAGACGTTAGTAATAATAATAATAGTTATAGCATCCATTTATGGAGGACTCGTTATGTGCCAAGGAACTGTGTAGAGTATTACACACATAAACTCCAATCCTTGTAATACCCTTGCAAAAAAAAAAAAAAAGATTGTTTTTGGGGGGTTTTTTTGTCCTTATTTTATAAATGAAGAAATGGATTTTCATGATAGGGCTTATAATGATCCCAGAAATGCAGGATTGCCTTGTATAGCAGGGGTCTTGGCCTGACATGAATTCAAAATCACAACAAATGACATAGTGGTTATGTTGCCAGCCTTCGGAGTTAGAGAGACATGGATTCAAATGCTAGTTTTGTAGCTTATTGTGAGACTTTACTTAATTTTTCTAAGCCTCCATTTTCTCATATGTAAAACAGGAATAATAATACTTACGTCAAAAGATTTGTTTTGAGGATTATATAGTGCTTGCGAAGAGTTTTGCACAATGCTCTGAAAATATTAAATGCTCACTAATGGTAACAGTCATTATCACTACTACCTCTTGGGTCACTTTCTTGCTCAACACTGTACTTTCTATACTGAAAGAGAAAGATGAGAGGGCAAAGGAACAGCAGATGTTTGTTGCTGTTACCTGTAAAACGTAGCTGGACACTCAGTAGGCATTCATTAGTGGCAGCTGCTACATCTCGAAGTGTTTGGGTGTGAAATGTCCCTGTTAGATGAAGCCAGATGGCTCCTGTGGCTACTAAATTTTCATGGTCGGGTACAGCAATGTTCTGCAGAGCCTCAACCATTTAATGCAAATGTTGGGTTGCTGCCCATTTTTGATGTAAATCTTATTATGTGTAATTGTGGTAGGGAAACCCCCACTGAGAAACTCTAAGTCTTGTAGTATTAAAGATTATCCACACACACACCCCATTTGTTGGTTTAGCAAATTCAGACTTCCTTAAATCAAAATGAGCTTGTACATTTTCCCCTCTATGCTGCTCGGGGTTAATCAAGAAAATCTTGATACTGCATTAGATACTATTCTTAATGTTGTGATTCAGCCTGCAGTATTGTCCACTTGTGACTTCTATTCCTTTATGGGTGGTATTAAGGTCTCATCAAACCCAAAGCATAGCACATTATTACCCTTGCTTCTGTGGTTCACCCTGTGCCCTTGGAAATCTTTTGGATCTCTCATAGCGGTTGCTTGTGCTCCAGTTACAGGGTAAGGGGGCCCTCTTGTGGCCAGCTGGACAGTGGTTCCTTCCAATGTCTACAGAACCAAATGGGCAAATTCTAATCTTTCAGGTTGTGGTAGGGCAATTTTTCTCATGGAAACAGCTCCAAAAGAAAAACGCTTTGCCTGAAACATCACAGAGCTGTTTGATTTACACCGACCACAACTCTTACAAGCCAGTTCTAGCGGAATATTTTTCACTAAAAGTCCTGATCTGGTCATCAGAATCTGACAACATATAGATTTATCTTTCTTTATAGATTATAGGAGTGGCTTTTATTATTATAGCTGAGGCTTAAGATGATAAATTAGAGGTGACAGAAAAAAGAAATTCCTTTTTGGTGTCTGTTTCACAGAAGCCACATCCTATTTTGTTATTTAAATGTGTTATTTATCCATAGAGGGCAACGGATATATTGGAAAACACATAATTTGTTCTCCTTTCTTGTCTTTCATGGACTTCTGAGTTATGATCTTGATGAGAACATAGAGTCTATAATGATGTTATATTTCCAAATGTAATTTAGAACGTACCACTTGAAACTTTGTGGCCCAGCTTCCCTTACTAAAAGTTTCTTACTGCTCTCTATTATAATTATTGAAGAGTCTAGCTTTGAAAATAAAGAATGAAGTTCTTTCTCTTCCATCTCCCTTGGAGTGCCAGGAACTGCCATGTAATATCCTTGCTATCTGCATTTACTGGGCTCTGTAAAGGACCCCACACCCCAAATCCAATCTTTAAAATGGCAATAATAGTATCTACTCTATAGCGCTGTTGTGAAGATTACAGCTAATGTAAGTGAAAGAGCTAATTTAGATTTCTCAATGTTTCTCAATTTAGGTTTCACTTAGCATTTCTCAATGTTACGCTATTGGCTTTTTTAGCAGGACACTTTTCATGGTGCAGGTCTGGCTGGAGCATTGCAGGACATTAGTGGCCCAGTAATACTCCTACCCAGTCATCGTGACAACTGTAGACACCCTCACACATGTCCCTAGGAGGAGGTGCTGCCCTCACTTGAGAATCACTGTATATCCTGCCACATAGTAGACAACTGATTCCTGATAGATTCTGCTCCTTGTACCATTAGAACTGCAGTAGAAACTTTGCAGATTTGCTGTGCCGCAGAATGCCCATGGAGCAGCTCAGGCCCTCATGGTCACCAGTGACCACGAGCTGAGTCTGCTCAGTTTAGGATTGGTCCCTGACTCTTGCCCACCTAATCAGAGCCATTGTGGCAAACCTGCCTAACTGGTCACTACTTTTTAGGCCTTAGCTTGATCAGAGAGCAAATTTCCCAGCATACACATAAAAACCAAAAGTATTTTCTCAGGCAAGATCCTTCAGATTCCTGGTTCCTATGTGAGCTCATTTGTTCTTACTTATGCTAAGTTTAAATTTCTGGTTAAGAGTTCATTCAGTCATTGAACAAACATTTATCAGTACCTGCTATGTGTCAGACCCTGTGATAAGCACTTTACATATATGTTTACATTTCATCCTCACCACAGTCCTGTGAAGCTGATATTATCCCCAATTTACAGATGAGGAAAATGAGGCTCAAAAAGGTTACTGAGAAAGGGAGGCCTCTTGCTCAGCCTCATATGGCCAGAGAGTGGAAAGGTCACTTTTAGCCTCAGTCTCTCTGACTCCAAATCCATGATCCTGACCTCCACCTCCTCTTGCTGCTTTCCCAGCAAAGGGAGAGCTCCTGCGTACAGAGTGCAAACACTGAGAAGGGGCACAGAAGAGCAGTGTAAGTGTCCTGACGGGGGAGTGCACAGGATACCGTGGAGGCCCAGAAGAGAATGGGAAATCTGCCCAGCTTCTGGGGGTCACAGAAGCCTTCCTGAAAGTGGTGACACCTGAGCACAGTCTTGAAGGATGATTGGGAATGAACCAGACATTGAAGTGAGGAAGGGTGATCCAGGCAGAGGGGCTAGCACATTTCAAGAGAGAAGGTGGCCCTTCTGTGTATTGGGATCAATTTAAAGACAAGGGCAGGAAGGGGAGATGATGTGGTTGGAGACCTCTAAAGATGCATAGCTGGTTTCTCTTCCACAGCAGATCCTGTCCCCCAGTGAGTAACCCAGATTGTTTTCTTTCAGCCAGGGACAAGTGGTGGCCTTCAGACCCTCAGATTATATCAGAAGGGCTGTATGCGATAGCTGTCGTGCTGAGCTTCTCTCGCATTGCGTACATCCTGCCGGCCAACGAAAGTTTTGGACCCCTGCAGATCTCCTTGGGGAGAACTGTAAAAGATATCTTCAAGTTCATGGTCATTTTCATCATGGTATTTGTGGCCTTCATGATTGGGATGTTCAACCTGTACTCTTACTACCGAGGTGCAAAGTACAACCCAGCATTTACAACGTGAGTATCTCAGAGCTCTCCTGAGGGTCTCTCTGGGCTTCCTGGGAGTTTGGGGGAGTCTCTTGGAAATGGATCCTTGCAGACACTCAGATTCCCTTAGTATTTCTCCAGGTTAAAGGTAACTTTATTCAAGGGTGGCTTAGAGTTCAGGTTCTGGAGTTGGAAGAACAGAAGAGCTGTGTTCAATCCTCACTTTGCCACTCAAATGCTGTGTGGCCATGAGCAAGTTTCTTAACTGCTCTGAGCCTTCCTTTCCTCATCTGTAAAATGGGGATAATAATAGTACCTGCTTCATAGGGATAGTGTGAGGATTCGATGAGATGATATAATTCACATAGTAAATTCTCAATAAATGGAAGCGATTATTATCAATATTATTATTGCGTTAGCCTGTGTTACCTAGAAAACAGAACCCTGGGCAGAACTTGCATGCCAACATTTTATTGGAATGTGGGGTTGCAATCCAAGGTACGACTTCAGAAAAAGGAAAGTGAAGTGTGGGGAGAGGGTAGGCAAGTACAAGGTGTTGCTGCATGGCAGGTAAGGGAAAGCAAACACAGACTGCTGCCCTGGCCACCATCTACCAGAACACACAACCTCTGCAGGTAGACAATGTGGGAACACCACATCTCAGAATAGCCCATCAGGGTGAAAAATAGAGAATTTATCAACCAGATCTTTCCCACCTGCTGTCTCTTATGAGTCAAATTCACTCCACAGGCATTAATTCACCCACAATTCCAGGGCAGCCCTAAGGAAGCCATACTCACACACCATGGGTGGTAGGTCTGCAAGTGGGGGTGGGTCAGCAGCTCTCTGCCCAGCTGGGCAAGCTAGTGCCACACATGAGCAAGTCCACAACATCACATGGCTCCATGGCAGGAGGCCCGGGTGAGGAAGGCAAGAGGCATGTGGCCTGGGTGCGAGGCAGGGCACTTATATTGGGGTCCAGAAGTAGCTGTGTGGGGCTCCAGGCAACACAATGACACAATGGCATGCTTCCCCTGCCACCCACCCATGGAGGTGGTGATGGAGCTCACTGAGCCTGTGTCCACAGACTCAAAGCTCCTTCTCTTTGTGGAGGATGGCAGGCGGGCTCCTGGAGGGCCACCAGCAGCACTGAGCAGGGTCTAGTGGGAGAGTCTGGCAGACCCGACTCTACATCCTGACACAGCCATTTACTGGCTGATTACATTAAGCCAAGTCACTGATTTATCTAATCCTCTGTCTCATCATCTGTAAAATGGAAATGAGATTTCCTGCTTTATTTATAAATACTTGCATGGATAAATGAGGTAGTTTAAGTTAAGTGCCTGAAACAGAAGTGTTTCCAGTCCAAGTCCTTCCCCAGACCTACCGCATCCCAGAACTCCTCTCTACCTTCATCAAGCTCCTGCCCAGAATCTTGAAAGGAGGAGAGTCGGGTCTCCAGCCACAAGCCACAGCAGCTGGGACTAAAAAGGGTAAGCAATTCCTGACACTTGTCCCCAGGAAGTCCTGGGTGGATTGGAATTTCAGTTTTCCATCTAGTGGAAATGGCTCTGAGCCTTAGCCATGCAGGCTCCCTGAGCAATTCATACCTTGTGGTAGGGCCTCACCTTACCCTTCTGGAGAAATCACTCTTCAAGGGAAGACACTTGTATTTGAAACCAAGTACAATGAACCCTGTGCTGCTCAGCTCAGAATCATGGACTGTGCTGCCCCACCCATCTGGAACTACCTAGAAGGGTGGGGCCCTGGCGCTGCTGAACCACAGAGGCTGTTACTCTCTGAGGCAAAGAAGGAGTTTGTGTGTCACAGAGAGCAGGTGCCAGGCCCAGTGCTGAGGAATGCACCTGAGGGTGCACGGCTCTGCCCCTCTGCACACAGGCCATGTTGGAACCTCAACACCCTATGGTCAGACAGACTAGACTTCAGTCTGAGCTCTGCTGGTTACTGGCAAGTACTTAAGTCCCCTGGGCCTCAATTTCCCCAACTCTGAAATGAGAATACTAAGAGGGCCAACTTCACAGGATTGTTACAAGGATCCAATAAGAAGAAAAAGGATCAAATACAGTGTTTGGCATATAATAAGCCTTCAACAAATGGTAGTGGTGATCATGAAGATAGTAAATAAAGGGTGGGGGGAGGATAAACTATAAGAAAAGACACCTGGATATTGATTTGGCTCTATAGGACCCTTTCTGGGCAGTGGCCTAGGTTAGAAACTGTCCACCGGCATGGGCCAAGAACATTAATGAATCAGTTGAACTACTTCATATCACTTCAATACTCCATGATTAATTGTTGAAGGAATGGGATAAGCTTGAATCATCCAAAAGCAAATTTGCTGTACATTGGCTACAGGCAAAGCTAAATGTGTCCACTCAGCATGGCACGCGTTGTATTGAACACGGAGAAGATACCAGCCAGTAATCAAAGGCTCTTACCCTGTGGTCGGGCCCCTATGTCCCTCCTTTGTTTCCAGTCTAGCACAATACCTTACATGTAGTATTTGCTCACTAAATACTTCATGAACAAGAATGAGCAAATATCCCTATATGGGCCAGCTGCCAAAAAACAAAACAAAACAAAAACAAAAAATATGAGGGAATAAACAGGCGAAACTAAGGCAGATTCAAGGCAGTTGGCTGGGTAAGCAATAGACTCGGCATCAGACGATGTGGATTTCTGTCCCATCTCTACTGGCATGGGTGTTCTATGCAATCCTTCTTCCCTCCCCTTACAGGGAATCCATATTACCAGCCCACATCCCTTGGAAGGTCAGTGCCAAGATGCACAGGAAAACAAAAAGGTCTGACTGGAAGCAGGGCTGACCTGGCTAAAATTCTCAGCTGGATATGGCACAGCTGATCTTTAGAGAGAGTGAGGCATGTGGCCTGGGCTGGGGTCCTGGGGGAAGTCAAAAACAGGAGAAAGGGGCAAAGCAACAGGCTTGTCCTATGTGCTAGGAACTGAATGAAGACTTTCCAGACCTGAGGGACCCAAGCAAAGAGGACCCCGGGCCTTCCAGGATGGGAAAGGGGAGCAAAGGTGGGGAGGCAGCAGGCACAGTGAAGAAAGGACGGGATATTTATCACCTTGGCAGTTCCTGAAATGGAACGTGTAGCTGTGAATAGGATTTGATTGAACAGGTCACCAGTCAATAGAGCAGTGAAGTAGAGAGGAAAGAATGGATTTTTGTAAATGTCATCTTTTACCTTTTGACTGCTCTCTGGAGTGTGTCACCCCCAAGAGATATTCTTTGATAAGAAAAAGGGCATGTGAGGATAAATCAGGCTCGTGGCTTAGGGGACTCAAAGCCATTCTGAGTGCCAGCTATGCTGATGATATGGTCGAACAACCCTGCTCAGGTGAATGTTTGCTCCAGAGCTGCCCATGCCAGGCCGCCCTGCCCCAGCTTGGCATCTTCCCTTGGCCAACCAGCAGATGAGGGAGCCTCCTCTCTGTGGAATTTTGAGCTTTTAGCCCCTCATCTGTTTCTATAGACTTGGAAGACCCAATCCTATGGAAGGGAAGTATGGGTTGGAGCACACTGCAGGTATCTCTCCCATCCCCACTGTTGACACCACCCCCAACCCAAAGGCAACTTGGGTTCCTACAGGCTGTTCAGGAGTCCGCTTTAAAACTCACCTGTTAGGAATGTGGAGGGAGCTCTCTCACAAGAGCCCTGCTCAACCTGGGGGTGCAATCCCAGGCCAGTTCACAAAAGCCAGTGCCATCTGAGTCCCACCAAATTATAGTACTGTCCCAAAGGGGAGGGATAGGGTAGACATTCTGGGACAAAAGGACAGAAAAGGAGAAAAAAGTTCTCTATCAACCACAGCCCCAAACCCTCAACCAAGCCCTACCATGTCTTTCAGTGTGTTCCATTTCCGGAATCACATACCTCCCTCCCCACCCCCAAATTGCCATTTCATCCATCCAGCAGACCTCAGTGAAGGGGCTAGAAGCAAATGGATAAAGACTGAACTAGTTCATCCCAAGATGTGAATAAACACACAGTATGAACAGCCTTGACTGAGATCAGTGGTTCCCAAACCACATCAAAATCACCTGGGGAGGGGCTAAATTTGGGACTTCCCAGGCCCCACCTCTTAGAGCATCTAATTACAGTACTTCCAGGGTAGGCCCAATGTATAACAAGCCACTGAGGGATCCTGACACAGGTAATCTTAGGACTACAGGCTGGGAAATGCTCATCTGGTCCAACCTTGTCATTACACAGATGGGGAGATGAAAGCCACTCTGGACTCTGTGCATTTCAAAATCAAGGAGCTTGCTAACCTAAGTGAGGATCTTATTGGTAGCCAGATCCAGCTGGAGCAAGCCCTGGAGTCAGATTCCATGACCCACTCCTGATTTTTCAGCCTCCTTCCACTTCAGAACCAAGGATTCTGTCAATGGTCTGGGTTATTTTTCAAGCCTTCTGTGTCTCCTGAAGGGGAAGAGCAGGGGGCGTGTGTGCATGGGTTAATGGGTGGCGAGCTGCGGCCTGTCTGCGCATGACAGCACACCTGCTGGCAGCTCATTATTTCCAAACCACTTCTGTTAGAAACTGCAAGGAGAGGAAGAGAAGGTGTTCAGACAAGCTTTATGCTCCCAGAGTACAAAATCAAAGTATCTCAAGACATCGGTGAGGAAGTGGAAAGAAAAATCACCTGAGAACATGCTTCCTTTAAGAAAGTCTTTAAGAAAGGTTCTCAATTTAGACTATTAGAAGTTGTGTTATTATTGGGAGCATATCTTTGTTTGTATCATGGAAGTCAGTAGTCACATAGGATTTGCTTTTTGGGGATTTGTTTCATAGCCAACTTTGGTGAAATGCACATTTTCCATAAATTTCCAGAAAGTCCATAAAAGGACTTTCTGATTATAGATTATACAGAAATCTTAAGGTCCTAGCACTCTGGTTACCGTGTTAGAAAAAAGAGAAACAAAATATCCTTGGCTCATAAATAAAACACAGCTGGGTGAGAATGCGTAGATAAAGGGCACCT